ACTTTAATTGCTTCAATGGAAGGTCTGCCTAACAGCCGTTTCTCAGTCCCTTGATAACATATAAGTCTTGTTCGGACTTACAATTTTTCTTTTCCAGGGTTGTTGGAAATACACCGATTACATCTAGTTTTGAACCTCTTGGTCCATAGAGTTTCTTGTCAGTTTGTTTTAGCACTTTTGTGTCTCTAAAATATTTGTCTGAGACTACAGACACATCTGCTCCTGTGTCTATACGAAATGTCATTTTCTGTCTGTTGAGTAATATCTCTAGGTGCCAACTATTCACTGAATCGATTTCCTGTATTGAACCTAGGACTGTTGTGGTATTATTACCATGATGATGGTCTGAATCTTCTACTCGTCTCACTTCTTTTGTTCTGCACTGCGAAGCATAATGTCCTATCTTTTTACATTTGTTGCACTCAACTCTTACTGCAGGACAATCTTGGTTACATGTATTTTTATGTGAATCATATTCACACATTGTGCATTTCTTTTTGAACGGAAATCGTTTCCAAAAGAAAAGAAGAAGCAGTTTTAAAGTGATAAAAGGTTACAATATCCAAAGGATAGAAAACAACAGTCCTCATTTCCTGCTCTCTAGCAATGTTCTGTCGTCTGCTTTCGTCTCCTCTTTCTGCCCTCCACCCCCTCACCTCCTTTGCCCCTTCCTCTAGGCTCCTGATTCGCCGGCCGGGAAAAACAAACATTACAGCATGATATAATTCATTATTCTTTAATATATCTCTATCTATCGTTCAATTCATCTATTGATACCTTGGTGATGATGGATACCTTGCGGGCTTTGGTGCTGGGGGGAACTGAGCACTTATGGACCTGTCCGGTGTGCAATGACGTTGTTGCCCAGGACAGGTAATACAGGTATTCATCTATTGTAACATAGCCAAAGCGCAACAAGTTTTCCAGAATCAGCTGGTTGGGAATTGTGTAAGTATACATTATATGTGTACGTTACACTATTAAACAACAGCAACCACCCCCCCCCCCCCCAAAGAAAAAAGGGTATTTGTTGTTGTTTTTTCTTAAATAGACAAAGAAAAATACCGATGTAAGCATATCACCTTAAAAACCAAGTAAA